GAGCGAATCGCTATAGTCTGGCTAAATCTCTCCACCGAGTAAACATTATAAATGATCCTACTTGTATATGCGAAAAATCTGTGAAAAATATAAATCATGTACTCTGGCAGTGTGAACTCTACGTATAAAATAGAAATGAATACATTAAAAAACTCAATAAGCTAAACATAGGTTTATCGTGTACAGTTGAGATCATTATCAACCGACCAAACATACTTATGTGCATCTATATGTGTCAATTTTTACAAAATTGTAATCTACAAATGTAATCTCAGGCTTTAATGTCATTATATCACTTTAAAGCTGTATGGGCCAATGGGCTCTCAATGCTTTTTAAGGGACTCGTCCCTCACAAACGAAAAAAAAAAAAAAAAAAAAAGTTCTCTTTGCACAAATAAATACCCTGCAAGCGATGAGCTTTTAACTTATTGTTATATGATGGCAGGTTCGGTAACAGAACCTTATACGTACAAACTTTTTACTTTAAACACAGGTTATAATTAATAAAACAATACCAAGACGCTATCACTACATTTATTACAAGATAATACAGATTCCTTGTACCAATTATTCACGGTTTATATTTATATGAGCTAACAATTTCTTTATAGACTTCTGGCACAGTAAATGATCTGTTTCTGAATTCAATCTATGTACAGTTGTACTTATTGCCATCTTTCGACCCCATAATTTTAACGATTCAACACACCCACTCTACCTTTTGGAGGAAATTTTGTTGAGACTGATTGCTAAAAATCTGTAACGCCAAACCATAAACCATGAATAATTTGTAGCAATAACTAATTAAAATATATACATGAAGAGGGACAAGCCTACCACAGATGCAAACAGGAAATTTCGCTGAGAGAAAACTTAGTCCAGCGCAGTACCAGAACTCTGATCAACAATCTCCACCCAATCATCATAAATTAATGAAACAACTCTGGTATCAAGTTAAATTTAATTAGTAAGCATCAGTTACCCTAAGCCACCCCACAGTTTAAGGATAAAGCTTCAAGAAATGATTAACATTACAACTCATATAACGAATCAAGAGCTTTTTACAGATTGACTGTTAACCTACCTACTGTACAAATCTTTTAGCTCCTCGTTTAGCACAGAATTAATTAATTCCCTTCTCAATTTATTATGCAAGCAGAAGTGCAAGCCAAGGACTTGCATTTTATTCAAAAGGGAGATTGTTAGGAGCTCGTCCTTTTGTGCTAAATTTAACTCTTTTAAGCCGTGATAGATCCATGGAGATCTCGAAAGCTTGAATCTCAAGTAGGTGGACTATGTGGACAGCTCAAATTCATTGCGACAGTAATGAGGGCGGAAGTAGTACTTCTCTAAATAGTAATGAATTCGGGAAGAGAATTTTACTTTTCAGAATTAATTACGGAATTCAAGGACGCATGACTCATTTTTCAGAGACACTTATTGTATAAGGATGCCTTTCAGAGATGGGGAAGCACGACCCGCCGCTTTTTGGGGACGCCTTTCCAAAAATGCTTCTCAGGGACGGAAAGGCATGACCGACCACTTTCCAGAGGCGTCTCTCGGAGACGAGGAAGCACGACCCACCGCTTTCTAAAAATGAGAAGCATATAAATACCAACTTGATGAGGGGCAACCCAAGGACTAATACTGAGTGTAAAAGGAGCACGCTCCGCGGGAAGCGGTAGTTTCAGTTCAGTCTTTTCGAGTTCAAGACAGTTTATTTTGGAGCCAGAGCTTGCAACGCTCAGTTCTGCGCTCCCTCACAAAATCTACGGCTAGTAAAAATCCGTAATTCCTTCTGAAAATAGCTAGGGTAGTCAGAAGTTGACAATTGCGATCCTAGCTTAGGTTCAAGGGCCCGGACATTATTTTCGGGGCATTTTCGAGGAATAGCCCGAACCAGGAGGCCGCTTCGTCTTAGGAGCACCAGAGACGGAAAGCACCTTGAGGAAAGATCTCTCTAGGACAAAGGACTTCCTGATCAACGCCTGGCACTATAATGCCCTACCAGGTAACGAATGCCTCAGCCCAGGCAATCGACGGCCACCTCGAGCGCCATCTGCAGTTAGTATTTGACAATCAGCGGCCCGGTCATAACATCACCTTTTCATTGCCTTCTGCTATCCACCTTTGTCCTTGCGTTGAGTCGGTTCGCACCTATATTAACTATAGCGTTGTCTGGTTTTTTATCTTCTCTTACTTATCGTTTACCGTATGATCTATTTGTCGTCTCTTGTGTACGTGTAATCAAAATTATCACTACGTGCTTTTTTTTCAAACTTTATTTCAAGTTTAGAGTTACTTGTAGATAGTGGTAATTAAATTTTCATAGCTATTAGACTGCTACCTTGAAAGTCTCGCACTCTATATGAAAAAGCTTGTATTCAATACATGTACTGGAAAACCAAGAATAAAGTATCGTTTAATGAAAGTTCTTTTTCAGTGTACTTCGAAGAACTATTAAAAACCGGTGGACAGTGGATGTTTGGGCACCCAAGAAAGAAGTTATACTTCTATAAAATTATTTGGCAGATAATATAATTATATATACAAATATACTGCTTATGAAACGATATTGTGTACGAAAATGGTGCAATTATCGTTTGAATGAGTATACCTGGGTTAGTTAGGTATAGTTTCAATAAATATTTCAATATCTCATAACAGAATAATTATAAATAATGTTTAATATCACAATACAATATAAACAATACGGTGGCTGAAAAGTACAAGACTGTGCTTTTTCATCAAATCTCCCGATGGTTTCAAAACAACTTCCTAAGGAAATAAAAAATACCCTTAAAAAATAGCAGATCGTTTAACTGTACCCTTTTCACATATTGTATTTGAAAAATTTGCAATTTACCATGCAACCTTATGAAAAAAATCTCTTTAAATTAGATTCATAATATCTACATAAAGCTCCCAATTTTTGTTTGTATGAAATATTACTAATAGATAAACCTGTTTCATTTTCAAATAAATCTATATAGATATATTTTTTTTTAATTGCTTAAAAGATAAAATAAGAACAATTTAGAGTATGTGGTTGCATGGTGTGGTGTGGTGATATGTTCACACGTTTAATTTAAAAAATTTGGAATTTAACATGTAACCTTATAGAAAAATCACTTAAAATTGCATTTATAAGAGCTGTATAAGCTTCCTAATTTTTGTTTGTATGAAATATAACTATAAGATAAACCCATTTCCTTTTTAAATAGATCTATAATTTTTTTTCTTAATAACAAAAAAAGGCCTTAAGTACGCGTTAAAGGGTGTTAGTAAGTACATCCATAACAGAAAAATAATTTCCACCGTTGCTGCATAATTTTGAGCTCCTCCCACCTCTCTGAATTTTGAGCTGAACTTTTCCCCTTATTAACTATGTGATAAACACCCTTAAGTCAAAAAATCACATTAATCACAAAGGAAAAGTTATGAAAGAAGAGAACGTTATAAAAATCAAATATTGTATTAATGCAGTACAAAATTTTTTTTTTAATTATGAAAATTTTGAAAAAATGTGAAAAAATTACGTAATCAATTATGCATTTATTTTAAAAGTAACATATAATTGATCAGTAAAGAAATGTTTATTATTACATAATATGAACGCTGCTCAGCTAATATATAGTTATTTAGAAATTTTCGAAATATGTATCTAAAAAATGTATTTCATTCAATAAAACATCTATTTAAGAAAAATTAATACATAGTAAATAACAATTTACATTAAAAATAAACAATAAACTGTACCATGAGATGGATTCCAATATCGGGCCCGCTCATAGCATAATGAGTTAGGGTCTCAGCCAGTATGCAAGTGGTGGGTAGCTCAAATCTTATTGGAAACTGTTTTTTTTTTTTTTTTTTTCATTGGTTAAAATAAAAAATTAGTACAATTCAAAGTGTGTGGTGCGATGATGTTGCGTGGCGTAGTGTGGTGGGATGATGTTGTGTGGTGTGATGATTTTAGGTGGTGTAAGGGGACCGGAAGTACGTGAAGAAGGGCGGGGAGAATGATTAAGCAAAATCCACTTACGTTACAGTTTTTCTTAAGGTCACTAATCTGAAATCGTTGATTTCCTCTGTAAGGCAGAACGTGCCTATAGAAGTATAACTTCAAAAAATATGTAGTCTTTGAGTATTCACTGTTGAATTATGTGTAAGTTTTTTTGTGGTCGATCAGTCAGTGTAATTATTGGACACGTTCGATTATCCATCGTTCGTTTGTTCGCACTCCATTGGGACCTTGATGTATAGGACCAATGCTTACAAGGAACGTATGGTTCACTGAGCGATTTATTTTTCCCTGCGTTAACCAAAGCAACCTATTGAACAATCTGGATGACAAAAAATCGTATACCTACGTTACTCGGCCGTAAGGTGGCTGATGGACGGCTACGTGATGTCGCCCTTGGCTTCGCCTCGGGTGACACACTCCACATGGCCGTACATCAGCCACTTTACGGCCTCGTGACGTAATATACTAATACGTAGATATAAATGGACTCTTGACAAAATGATGTTCTTTAACTTCAAAGTCCAGAAAACATGTTTATAATATACTACATAAATATTATGTATAAGTTTCTTGTTTTAAAGAATTAAGAGCGTCATAAAGAATAAAATGAAAAATTAATAAAAAATATTTTTTCACTATTGTACAATAGCATGTATTCATATTGTTACTTCTTAATTCATCTGAGTTTTTTGTGTAACGGGCACAGATAAATATGTTTATTGTATGAATTTTTAATTAATCATAACATAAGAGTAAATCTCAGACATCTAAAAATTTTAAGGTATACAAATAAATATCTCCAAGTATTTGGGCAAAACTCGTACATCATTTTCGAAAAGATGTTCCATTAAATTAAAAAAAGCAAAATTTAAATCCTTATATTATACTACAGGCTCAAAATATAATGAAATAATTTCATATTCATTACTTAGAACATTCTTATACATAGGACTACTGATAAAAACACTCGTACCTGAGTTCAATTCCCGGACAAGAGATGACATGGCATTAGTGACATTGTCAGCTGCTATCAAAAGATCGTTCCTTAATGATCGTCCTAAGCTGTTATTGGCACTACTTGAACCACTGCTAGGTAAGCTGTTTGTTCTGAATGCAGATCTAACATAAATGAAATCTGTTGTTATTTACAAAGAAATAATATAAAATTTTTCATTCTGTATACATCAGTATTTTATTGATTTATATTTTATATATTCTATTGACATTGTAAGGTTAAAAATTGGAAGTTCCATCACAAGGCTTACTGTAACAAATATATACAGTATGCTCATTTTAATATTTTGCACAAAGCCCCAAGAACAAAAAGTCTTTCTTACTTAAAAAAAAGTTTTAATAAAAAACATTGTTGCTGTACAATTTTGATTGATTTATTTTTTTTTTTTTACCATATAAAATGAAAAGTCGATTACATTTCATTTAACATCCTTATGTTTTTTCCCGTAATTTAATGAAAATTAAATCATCGTTTAACAATATGTCAAAGGTCGTATCTTCGTGTTGTCTTTATATATTAATCAACACATGCCTCAATTCTTTTTTTGACTAATTTTTTTAAATTAAAATTTTAATTTCAACAATATAAAACCTTTCCATGGGCCCAAAGTGCAACTGCCGCTTTGCTCCCTCGGGTCACACTTTGGGCCCTTGTAACCATTTTGTGCCCTACGGGCCCCAAGTACTATTCTGCCCTAGGGCCCAAAGCGATTAACTGGGCGCAAATTGTGCCCGTGGGCCCAAATTTGTACTTTGCGCCCTCGGTAAGAAAAACGTTGTACGCGACTCGGGCACCAACGTACAACAACCACGCCCTTCGGGCACTCATGTTTGTACTTTGTGCCCTAGTGATGTAATGTACTATTTGATAATTGTCTGTGAAACAGTTTAAAATAGTTAAAAAAATTTTTTGGCAAACGTTTGATCATTACGTGATTAAAAACTTTTTATCCGTTGTGAGATGAGCCAAAAGACTTGCCAAGACACATAAATTTTAAAATATTCATTTGATAAAGAACATTACAAAGTTGAAGTTTGTACACTGAACTATATAACATTAAAACCTTCATAATTCGATTTTCGATTTTTTTTTAATTATGTAGGATTAATATTTGATTACATTACAGAATTCTGCAAATCTACTTTTTCGTATGCACTGTTTTTGTGTGATGGTTAATTTAGAACTCATTGAAGTTCATCTGAGCACTCCAGAAATCTGTGAGGTTACTGATAATAAGCAGGACTATCGGTTCAAATAATTTAATGCTTCGATATTCGAGGTTGATTTTAAATTTAAGTCAAACTTAAACTTAATTGCATGTATCAAAGCACTCAAATGGATTTTTCAGTATTTAAAAGTTACTTTTATGTTACACTTAAGATTTCCAGTATCCAATTTAGCAATCTACATAAAAAATTTGGTCGTATCTCGTAACTGTGATATGTTTTCTTCTTGTGACAGAACTGCTACAATCAAATTATAAATTAATATCACTGGCTGTTGCTTGGAGAGCGTAAAAGAGCGGTAAGTGACTGGGGTGTTAACAGTTCTTAAAACACGGAAAAACAACATATTTTTTCGTTATTTAATAAAGTGATTTTTGGTTCCTGAGGGAATCACAGGGTAAATAAGGAAGTATAAGAGGCCTGATATGAGATGATTTTTCCTTCCTGATTTTAGGAATGAAAGCGCAACAGTCCTCCTAGATCCAAACTCACGTTCTCTGCACATAGAAAACTATTTTGCCACAATCTGCGTATTCCTCAATTTGCACGCAGTTAACATCAAAATATTTCTCTAGTAGACAGAGAATACGAGTTTTACCTGGAAAGTTATGTTGTGCTCTTCACTCTGAAATCTTGGAAAAAACCTCGGAAAAAACGTCACATTTCGATGAAGAAGAGTGAAGAATGGAAGGAAATACCACACTTGCATCCCTTGTGGTGTAGTAAAATATATTTTGAATTAATTTTTGCGAAAACGAAAAAAAACAAATGGGCAGATGTAAGGAAGAAATACCTTGCCAACAAATATATTAGAACTTAACAAAGTTGACAAAAAACTGCCTTTAAGGCTCACAAAAGTCTAAATCATACCAAAAGTCGCAAGAGGTCGAATTGGAAGAAAATTTCAAATGCATCTAATGTATACAATTTTAGGTGTTAGAAAACTGACGCTGAACATTCATCGAGATTGAACCTGCAGTGACAAAATCGAAAAATAAAGAATTTAAGAAGAGAATTTCGCCATTATAAGCCTTACAGTTATCTCTTACATTTTTCTTATATTTAAATAGATAGAATATGTATTAGTATTTGTGTCACGATATAAAATGTAGGGATTGAGCTCTAGAACTTTGTTGCTCTGGTAATAAAGTTGTGAGAGAAGAGAAAAAAAATTCCAACTTTATGTAATTTTTGTGAAAATATAGCCCTTTTTGTAGATTATACGAGAGAAACTGCATGTTAACAGCCCTTTAAGGCCAACGATTATTGTACGGCTTATGGTGTGCTCATCAGAATAATAATATTTTTTTTTTCACTTTTTACAGCTTACTATTTGACCAAATAAACTGTACGGATTCCGAACAAATATGTTTAATAAGAAGATTTTTATTCCTCACATCTGATTGGCCGATCATGATAGCAAAAATATACGTCCGTTTAACATACCTTTATATTTTCACTTAATTTTGCCACCAGAAAGACTGAAAAATAAGTTGAAGCTGTGTGATGCATATAAGCAGAGTATGTTGGTCTTGTCTCATGAATAAGCATTTACAGCTTATACATACTAGAAAAAGATTTTTCAACACGCCGCGCGTGGGGACCTTGATTATGAGCCGTCTGTTGTGGCTCTAAAGACCTCGATTTATGCACGTGACTCACAACTCGTGCTGCGCACTCGTGCGAGTGCGTGTGTGCGTCGAGATCTTTGCAGAGCCACATTAGATGCTTCATAATCTCGTTCCCGCGAACGAAATGTCGAAAAGTTGTATACACCACACGTGCGAGAGGTTAGGTGATTGACACACGCGTGTTTTCGCACACTCGCTAGCGCTTGTGTGCGAACTGACACGTGTGCATCAATCACTTTTCTCGCGCACTAGTATCGTAATATACTATTTCCGCCTTCTAACCTCAAAATAGCACCTTCACCGCTTGATTTTGGGTTCTCAGGCAAAAAAATAGTATACGAAACTCGTTAGAAAAGGCTTCTTTACGAACCTCGTTATGGCCCTCGCCTTCGGCTCGTGCCGTAAACCTCTCTGTTCGTTAATCGAAGCCTTTGCAAACTCGTACGCAATATACTATAACGATGCGTAGTAGCAACTTTTACGAGCTGCGTGTAGTTTTTTTGGATGTATACACACTTTTTTGCCCTATTATCGTATATAGGCTACACAATAATCACGTTGACATCACAATGCTGACAGTATATGATATATCATACTCATAAAATAGTAATCAGGGATAGGTAATTACTTAATTAAAGGAAACAATTTCTGTAATTAAATTAATATATTTTTATAGGCATTTTTTGGTAGTTTGACAGACCTATTAGTCTGATCTTCACCTTTAGTGTTAAGATTCTCGCACATATAAGTTTGTGCGAGGTCCTTTATCTGCAAAATGATGAGAATCAATTAACATACAGTTAAAAGAAGTGCACCTAAAAGTTACCAAAGTATTGATAATGAATGTATTAGTTATTTAAACGTATACAAATCTACTGTAATTAATACTTTTGACGTAAGAAAATGAACGTTAATAGATCAGAATACGGTAAAAATACTTACACATTCGATGTTGACAAAGCAGTTACTTTTAGGTACGAATCTCTTACAAATGTTGTAAGAGCACAAATATTATATAATTATATAAAATTATTTATGTAAAAGTACAGCCAATTCAAATTTAAATTCTCACCATTACAGATTCAGATATAAAAGGGCCAGCAGGAACATGGACTGATCACTCTGCTTCTGCCTTTCACAGGGAATCCAACCGTTTACTTATAAGTTCAGCACTTCAAAGTGTCATGTACATTATTAATACTCAATAAATTATTATTTATATACATTCACCTTAATTTTGTATTATTTATTATTAAATCTTAACTTCGATTAGACATAGCAATAGGTGAGACAGTGACGAGGCTAGTACAGTCTCTTAGCTTTCCCTTATCATTGCATACTTTCTTGTGTCACTAGGGTAAAGAACCGACCCCCGGGGTATTGCAAATCAGGGTAAATTTTTTAGGTAGTGAATTAGTGGATCGGTAGATCTTCAGGGCAATACAAACTGAGGTTATCCCGAAACATCAAGGAATTATCGCGCCTAGAAGTATTAAAGAAAGTTAACTTTTATACTTATATTTACTTACATGTTTATTAAAAAATATTAAATCTACACGAGGTGTCATGTACTATCTGTCAAGGGTATCAAGGTGCGAACCTGCCTGTGTAGTTACATGCTGTCTATAAAAGATATCACGTGCTACTGATTAGGGGCATTACAAATTAACCTTGTATTCACAAGTTTTTTATTGATTCCTAATCCTTATAAAAGTGTCTCTATACTAATCTTACATGAGTATGAAATATCACGTCTCCAGACTCTTTATACGTATGAAATAATTATTACATTTTAAATTTCCACAATGTAATGGTAGGAGTTCTCGATAGGCTTACTACTGAATTGGACGAACTTAAAAGATAAGGATTTAATTCCTAGTAGTTTGAATTTCAGGTAAAACCTCTTAAAAGGCTGAAATCCGATTTTCTTCCAACTTGAAAAGTACTTTTGATCCTGATGAAATAAAACTAATGTTAATCCCTCGCTGTAACTAAAACCACCGAAACACTACTAACGTTGCTAAAAACAACACTGTAAGCAAGTAAAAAACTGTTTATACAACAATTTTTGGAAGTTATTAATAAGTTGATTCGTATTTGTGGCTTACAACTAAGGATATGTATAAATATTTCTTTATTAGATATTTTATTTTCAATGCTGCAGTAGGCTTATGTGTATAGTTATTTTAATCTAAATACGACTTTGTGGTTGTGTATAACTAACTTAATATAATTTTGGGTCTATTA